AGAGTGAGGGAGAGAGAGAAAAAGTAAATGAGAGGATGAAAGAGTGAGTGAGAGAAGTGGTGAATGAGAGAAAGAGAGAGAGTGCGAGTGAGAGAGGGAGAGAGAGAAGAATGACAGAGCAAGTGAGAAGGAAGTGAGTAAGAGAGGAGAATGAATGAGCGAGTGAGAAGAGAGCGAGTAAGTGAAAATAGTGTGATTAAGGGAGGAGCGAGTGAGAGAAAGAGAGACGAATTATAATAAAAGAAGAAAAAAAGAGGAAGAGGGACGTGTGAAATTTGCTACTATTCATAGTTTAATTTAGTCTGACAACATTCTTATTATTGTAACCTTGCAAATTCATTGTTTTACAGTGATTAACATATTTACAGAAATTAGTTTAAATTAAAGGGGTTTAAATTGTTTTAAATTAGGGAACCGGACTTGGTTACTTGTTGGAGCACTATGAAAATAGACTTCTTTTTCGATGCGTGTTCTTTTGCAAGCATTAGTTTTGAGGGTAAAAATTTTTAAATGATGCTAGAAGATGGAATTTATGTGGAGAATTTCAGTGTTTTTTTAAAATCTTTATACAACGAGCGCGTCAATATGCACGAGTGGTTTATGGCTCCTGGAAGTCCCATTGCTTAACTTTTGTACGGCCGGCAGCACATACATTGATGTGATGTGTTGCTCCCTGATTTCGCCTTATCGTTTTTCCGCTTCGAGCCCCTGAAATGTCCTGAAAACTCCATCATCGTACGACACGTTGCGCCGTATGAGATATCGCTATCACCGACGGGTGACAACGAAATCAATCATTGGCGGTAACAATCGTCGTTTCGGGCCAACCAGTTTGAAAAACATCAATATTGATATTTGGACAATTTATTCATTTATTCTCTTGTGAATGCAATCATTTTCTTCTGGTTGCATGATGTACGTACATTCAAATATTTTTAAAGTTTCAGTTGAATTTTTTCCGGTGGTCAAATTTAACACACTTCTAATCCGCATTAGCATTGTAGCTAACCGACATTTGATAATTAAAATGACAAGAAGCAAAGAGTGTGTAGGCTGTATACTATATACAGAAATAGTAAAATATGTGTGTTCTTATCAACGCATTAAAGGGGAAGACTGGCTAAGCTGTCTTAATGTTCTTATCGGCTTAAGATCTTTGGACCGTCCGTTCTCGTTATAAAATTGTTTCAGCTACTAAGCTCACAAGCCTCCTAACCACATATCCTCTTAAAGACCCATCAGCCTTCTTCCTTTGATGTTCGAAATTCTCGAAAGATTCACATAAAATCACTCACTCTCACCAAATCGGGTTCTGTCTCCATCATTCCACAATCCGGCACGGTTTCATTTGCGTGGAATCCCATCACAAAACTTAAACAAAAACAATTTGGCAACAATTTAAAAGAACTACAAAGGCTTTTAGGCAACACTCAGACAACTCTATCCACTTTAGAACTGTGGGGTTCCGCCAAGTTATCCATTACTAGCGCATCCAATCCGTCCATCCAAAAGTCGTCAGACGAATTTTCAAAGCTCCTAACTTAACCTACGTCCTCAGAGTGCCGTGTTGCTCACGGTGTAAGTTACCAGCGACCAAGGGAAAAAAACATATACGTACATATTTGTATTTAATTCTATAAATATAAATTATGGCTAAACATGATTTTATTTTCTGAATTATTGTCGATTGGAAGAAGCCATTTGGCGATTTTAGCAAATTAATCCTGACTCTATTCCCACATTTCATCTCTGATCTGCCTGTCCTCGCCGTTTCAGCGTTTGATTTATTAAATGGGCAGAGCAAGACTGGCTATTATTTATGTCTTTACCATTTATGTTAGTACGTTTGAAAAAAAATATATATCAGGTTTTGAAATTTTAAAATTAAACTGAAGTTAGCCCAATATTGAAAAATTGTGATGTGGAACGATAGGCAGAACGGAATTACTACAGATTTTTTTTTAATTAGGAAAATATGATATATTAGGCTTATCTCATTTAGATCGCTTAAACATATTCAAATTTGACATTATTTTATCTTTAGTTATCTATTCATTACTGATCGTAATGTTTCGTTATTGATGTAATGTCTTCGTTTTATAATGCTTCTTCCACTGATTTCTGCCATTGTTAATTAATTGGTCGATCCTTGAAAAAGTATGGATATTTATCAGTATTTGATCATTGCTAACAAATCCACAGCGTTCTATAGTTCTTCTTCCACATTTTCTTCAGTCTTTTTTTTGCTAATTTGCTGATATAATTGTTAGTATTTTAACATTTCTGATAAAGTCGCTTCGTTCTTCCATTGATTTATTATTTTTTCCATTGCTAATAAGTCGATACCTGAAAAAGGTATTGATATTTGTCAGTATTTTATCATTAATGATAAATGACCAAGTCATTTCGTTTTATAATTGTAATTCCGTTATTTCTACAATTTTTTTAAAATGTGTCGTTCAACAAAAAACGTACTGTTATTTATTAGTATTTTATCATTGCTGATGGAGCGACTTGGTTTTATAGTTTCAATTTCTAGGCCAGATGTATTAGATTTTTGCAAAATTTTAGGTTGGTCGGGTTTTGGTGCTTAATTTATTTAATTAAGCCCTAACCATCCCTAAAAGTACATATATGTATTACAATTACACATAAAAAGAGCCATCGTACTAACAGTATTCATACGATACTCAACAATATTTACTCATAATATGGTGTAATTTACAATAATATTGAATAATAACGTTTGTAGCCTCTAAAAAGATCTATCTTTCGAAAACAAACAATTTCCTCTCGTTTAGGCTAATAAAATTGTAAAACATTCATAGTACAGCGGATTTTTTTCAGTCTAGGACACAGTTTTTATTTGTATATCTCAAGTCCACATTACCCGGTCGTATTTTACAGAGCCGGCTGGTCTTGGCAACTAAGCCGGGTACGACCGAAATGCTAATTCTCTTAAAGCCGGAATATATGAATAACTTGCTCCCTGAATATGCTATTTCGTATGCCTAGATGTGAGTCAATAAACACAATGTTTAGCAAATTTTCATGGACAAATTGCATGCTGAAATATCCCGACAGAAACAAATTACCAAATAAATAAACTTAGGCGCCGACTATAGATCGATAGAATTATTAGACGAGTGGTTACATACAATTTAAAATTTAAATAGTTACATGCTATTATGTCAAATCAGTTTATAAATAATGTGAATAAATTCAGTCTAGGTGTTAACATTAAGGTTAGCAATTATCAACATTTACTAAAGTTACAAATTCAAATTGTACATATTTTATTTTCTCCTTTATCTTCTTTTCTTTCTTAATTTGGTTTTACCATTCCATTATAAATAATTAATATTTAAAAAATACATTATTGCATTGTTGTATTATATATTTTACTACATGTTTATTATTATTGCTATTATTATATTACTATGTTTATAAAACTAAATTTACTTCTAATGTTTGTACATGCAAAGAAATAAAAAACAGACGTTTCTTACTTCTAACATAGCAGTTTGTCTTGTGTGTGTTTTTTCCGTAGTGGTAAGTATTATTTACATTTGTAAAAGTAATTTGTGGGAGTCGTGAGGTGCGGTCAAGAATGAGGTAATTTAGAAAAACAGCTTATTCATTGTTTTGCCGACGTTTCGACCTTTATTCGGGTCATTCAGGGTATAAAGTATAGGGAATAGCACAACACTCTATACACTGAAGATGGCCCGATTAAAGGTCGAAACGTCGGCCAAAAATTGAAAACGTGTTTTTCTAATAAACTACCTCAATCTTGACCGCTCCTCACGACTTCAACAAATTATGAAACAATAGGTCACTCAGAAACACACATTTGTAAAAGTGAAAATTAAAAATATTCTGAAACAGTGTCGCAAACCAGGATGAACAAGATGGAAGTTTTACCATAATACAATAACAATATTTTATGTATGAAAATACAGGAACACTTTTCTTTTATTTCCTTCCTTGAAACAGATAGAACTCTTTTAAAGTGATTAATTACAAATTAAATTTTTATTACATCTTTTTTTAATCAATGAAGTTTCCTTAAAGTTTTAAGACTTTTTACTTTCCAAAAAGTTCTGCTGACAGATCTTTCTAGAGTTCATAAAAGCCCTTAAGCACTAAAACCTGACCGACCTAAAATTTTGCAAAAATTGATCAGTATCGACCCATTAATAATGGCGAAATTAACAAATCAGTGAAAGAACTATAAAACTATGTGAATTTATCAGTAATGATAAAATACTGACAAATATCAATTTTTTTTGTTTATTGGCACATTAAAGAGTAAAACAACAAGTTAGTTGAAGACGAATAATAAAACGAGGTGCTTTCATCAGCAATGTTAATATGATAGAAACCAGTACTTTTCCATTAATCAGCTGTAAATACTAAAAAGAATAAATCAGTGGAAGAAGAATTACAAAATAGAATGGATAATCAGCATACTGATAATAACAGTACTTTTTTGTTGATCAACCCATTACAACCGTAAAAAAAATAAATCAGTTAAAGAAGATATATAAAAAGAAGTCGTTTCATCAGAAATAATAAAATACTGATTGATAACAGTACTCTTTCGTTGATTAACCCATTAAAAATGGCAAAAATAATCAATCGATGGAAGATAAATGATAAAAAAGTGGTTTTTATCAGTAATGATAAAATACTGATAAATAACAGTCCTTTTGTCAATTCATCAATCCACCATTTATGATGACAAAAATAATGTCAGTAGAAGAACTATTAAATGAAGTGGTTTCTCTATGACTCATCAACTCAAATTCAACTCAGAATGAGTCATATTTGACTCAACGACTAATTGGCAATAAAATTGAACCTCATCTGAAAAATAGGTCAATATTTTTACCCTTTAAAAATGAAAAATATATAAAAAAATATATATAATAAATATAACTATATATTAAAAATAGGTAAAAAATATTCAGAATATAATTCTTTCTTTTTGTTTTTAGGGCTTAGAAAATACGTTTTTCTCTGTACAGTATGTGGGGGACTGGCCTCACTCCTTGGTGGCCTATTCCTCGGTGTATACCTCATATTGAGGTCCTACACGTCTTCGCTGGATTACTTTGAAACCATCCCAACTTACATACCAGCAGCCATGGTAAATTTTTTTCTTAACAAAAAAAAAGTTTATTTATGCCATTTAAAAATGAACTATTTTTTAAAGAAAGGGGTTAAGATAGATTTGTTGATTGGGAATTGTATGAATCGTTGGTTAATCATGCATGTCATTGCTATTGAAGCGCAAAGGGTTTATGAGGAAAATTCAAAATCAATACATTCAGGGTCAATGCCTTCTATGTACCATTCATTGACCTAATCTAATAAAACCTATATGTGAAAAGAATTGTATGAGTATATAAAATAATATAAGCGATATTTAATTACATGTTGAAAACTATAATTTTCTTGTACCTTCAATTATTTTTCAGTTATTGCTCACTGGTTTAGGAATTATGTGCTTAGCTAGGAGAAAGAACAGATATGCAGTTTTGGTGAGTTTTATAAATCCAAATTTAATTTTTTGTTATGATTGAATTTTCATTTTGCCTTAGATCAAATTATGCGGCGTATGCTGTTTGATATGTGCTGCCACTTGCGTTCTTGTCACTGTAACAACAACAGTGATCCATATGAGCAGGCTTCAGTCACTCAGAGAATGTGTCTACACGACGAAAACACAAACCTGCACGTGCTATTCAATGCTATTGGAAAGCGCAGCTGACAGGACTGAAGAAGGTATGGTTAAATAATAAATGTCACATCAACATGGTCAATGATTGTATGGTTTAAACTGTCATATATGTTTTTATTGATAACAAGATTATGGATTGTTGCTATTTTTGCTCTTGTTGAAATTATTTCTCGGATTGTGTTATTCAGGGGCGCATTATGTATTCAACTCCACACCAGACTGTGAAGTAATTCATGGTGCACTTTATTCCTGTCTAAGGGCAATGTTTGGACTTTCAGTCATCGGCATATTAGTCTGCATTTTCTGCTGCATGCTAGTCTACCAGTTACTAAGGTATTTGTCATTTCTTATGCATAGTATCAATACAATCTCATAGACATATGTTGAAAATGGTTCTTTTTTCATTGTTGTGCTATGTTTCAGCCATGAGCGAAAGAAAATGTACTGGGAACAGCTGGAATTGCGATGCCGATATCTTTATGGCCAGCCTAGAAACCAGGCAGTTATCAATCCACCACAAAGATGTAGCCATTGTGCTTGCTCGCAACAATTCCGATTCCCCGTCGAAAGCACTTTTGAAAACAGGTATAATTTTATTCCAAATATTAGCATGTGTTGCATGTTTGTGTAGCAGAATCACAATCCTTTCTGTGAAGGGAAAATTCAATAAATTGTGGTACAAGGGGGGCAAGTCTGAGGATTTGTTTTTGTCGTTACTAAGTATCACAGTATTTAATTTTGCCTTTACACAAAAAATTCATTTATTGTGGTTTTTCTGTGACCTGAAATTGTTCATTTTTTAAATTTTCTTTTGAATAATTGAATAATTTCTGTTGCCCCGGGTAGACTTTGGGCCAGTGGGAGAATCGGTAACCTGTACTCGCCGAACCCTGTCGGCGATGAGCCACCTCAGAGTAGCGGCTGGGCATGGAGGCTTCCATGGTCGAGATCCGACAATTCGCACCAAACCACGCCGGCCACACAAAACAGGTGTGTCCAAATGCTAGAAAACTGTCACAGGGAAACTGCAATATTTATAAAAAAATGGTGTTAGCTAATTTTGTGCTTGCATTTGAGGGCATGATCATGCTAAGGGAAATTCATAGATGAAGTAGTAACAATAATTGTGTGAATTTATGTATATCCCATTTATTCTGCCCTGTATTTTACTATCCATAATTTTTTTGTCAATAATTTTTGACAATCCTAATGGAATTTCATGAAATATATTGTTACTGAAGATGCAAATCAAATGCAAGGGGTAGCAAAATTAAAAATGAAGAGATTTATAAATTGTACTTCATTCGTGAAATATTGACATAGACCTCCAAGAATATTTTGTTTAAGTTTCAAGTGCACAGCATGAACCCATGCCTTATTTAGTAGCTAGCCCTTTTAAAATAAAAATTAGAAGTGATTAGTTAATTTTGTTCTCTTTGTGGTTTGCAGCTAATACTAATCCCTGTGACTTGTTTGCTAACAGTATTTTTGTACCTGAGAGCATGGAGTAATTTCAGTTAGTAAGAGTTGACTTGACAAAGAAATTTTGCTTTCAGGGAGACAGTGCCGTATAATCAACCTTTGAATTGTTCAAGCCCTGATTCCCAATATGGTTTCACAACTCAGGGGGTTGCGACAGTGTCTTCGGCTACTTCGGCATCATACACGATGATAGAAACACCACCAACTCAGGTGTACCAATGGGGTCCTCCACCGCCTTACTCGGATCCAAACAGTCCAAGGAGACTTTGTCCTTCTGTGACTCACAACTGTGCAAGCAGGCAGAGCCATGTGCAGGAGACTTACCATAATCTCCAAGAAGTGGAACATGAGGAACCGAGGTCCGCCAGAGGAAGGAGGATTGGTGACTCTTGCTCTTCCTCCGCCAAGTCTGAAGAAAGAAACAACCAAAGGATGGAGGAGGTTGTATCCCCAAGGATAAAATACCTCCGCCAGACAAATCCGACTCCAAGAAAAAGAGCAGAACTTTCAGAGTCTGAAGTTTATTTTGCAGACGTCTCAAGTTGCTGCAATGGTTCAGTGAGAAATGATTCGCTTTTGTACGATGAACCTGTGACACCAGAGCAAGAAATCAACAAACTCCGACCACAGGCGCATCCTTATAGAAAAGATACACCGATAAAACAGCCTCGTTATGTGCCAGATAAGAGCTTCCATGTACAGATGCAAGAAAATAAAGAATTCCAAAAAATCCCTGAAGAAAGAGGCTCACCAGAGGCATATTCTGAAATGGCCCATGATGGATCAGAAGAGGATGACCCGGAGCTTGTTAGTTTCAGCCAAAGGAACGAAGGAAGAAATAGAATAACCGATCTCTCAAGATCACAGTGTAGAAATAGAATGGACCTTTCACAAATGAATCAAGATTTTCCTTCGCCCATGTCAATTTCATCCCCTTCGACTGGAAGTAAAGACTATTTCCCCGATGTCGCCAATTCAGACAATGGCTCTGCGAATTCTGTCTGGAGTGGCTGTTCTCCAGATTTCCTCGCACCTGATGCTCAGTATGAAGCGATTCCTGAGCACAGACTGAGAAACGAAGGAATAAACTCAACACCGAAATTTTCACCTTCTAAGCGAAAAGGCTTGCAAGATTGGCACAACTACCAGGAACCAGAACCGATATTGTTTACACAGAATGTCAACAGCATAAGAGCAGAGAAAATCAGGGATAAAAGAAATGCTGTCAATTCACCTAAACTGAGAAGGGAAGAGAAGCCTTGCTCATTTGAACAGGCCCTGAGTAGTCTTGAGTCAGACATATCCGAATTGAGAAATGCCACTCGCTATGACAAACGTGACAGAGAACTGAATGTGAAAAATCCGATAATATCTCCCACCAAATACGACAACAAAATTTTAGACAGTCCTTTATCTAAATTCGACAAGTGTGGGAACTTGCCTCAGAGTTATTATGAGGACCATTTATCCAGTCCTTCAGAGAGCTTCCAAAGATATTCAAACTCTGATAGCCTCCAATCACCGAGGCACCACTACGAAGAAATCAGGGATCATATGAATTCCCCTGAATACGAATCTTGCAGTACCCCTCGAAGCAAATCCAGGCCCCATCTTCATTCTTCCCAGGATTTTTGCTTGAGCAACAAGAAAGATCCAATGACAATAAACAACACTGTTGATTCCCCAAAATTATTCGAGAAGCGTCTATTTACTAGCACCGCACTCCGAGGTTCGCCTGAATGTATAGCATTAGTAGACGAATCTCAGTGTTCCCACAATGACTCGTCATGCAGATGTTCTCTAAATCTAAATAAATGTGTGACCGATGATCCTAACCACTAGCATTTGTTGAAACATTTTGGCTTTTATATATTTGCAAAGGTCCAAAAGGCTTGAAAATTGTGATGATTATATTTTAATGTTATTGACAGATTATTAGTATTAACTTTTAATGGACTCGTACCTGATGTTTATCTCTTTATAATCATGGGTCTTATGATTTTAATTTAAAAAAAGTGGGAACAATCCTCTCAAAAATCAATAAGATCTAATTCAATTATTTGAACCGGCATAATCTATGTCGGATGTGTACTGTAAGATAATGTAAATAGAACAAGGCATGTCAGGTTAAATATTTTGGTGTTAATAATTTTGAATCAAATATTTTGTATACACATGTTGAATAATTGAAAATTGCTGTTTTCGTTTGAAGACAAAAATAATATTTGCATTGTATCATATGTGCCTTAGGCTTCATAGGAAGTATTACAATAAACTTGCAAGTTATTTTCAAATGTTTAAAGTGAAATTAATTTGTACTATTCATAGTTTATTAGAAGAAAATTTTCATAGTGTAAATAATATTTATTTCCTTGCTTAGCCTATATAAATGTTAATTTATGTATAATTAATTTTAATTAGTAAATACTTTCTTAAAATGCACTATTTTGTTTCTTATTATTACTATGACCTTGCTCTTGTTAACATAAATATTCCTGCAGTATCTAAGGTAATTCCTATAATCTGGGAACGAAGAAGCAGGCAAAGAAGCTGCTGGAAGCCACTATGATGCTTCCCAAGCTTTACGCCTAGCAAATTTAAAACTATCAATTTCAAATATTATAAAAGGAGAATGGATAAACCCCAGGGCTCATGAAAATAGAAATAACTAAAAAACTGTGGGAGGGTAAGACAGACATCACACGGCGAACAGGACAAAAAGAGAAAAGGCCAAATGACAAGACTACGTATAGGCCATAAAAGAATAACTCGAGGGACCTACTAGCTAGAAAGAAATCATGTAGATGCCCATTATGCAAGAATAAACTAACAGTCAAGCATATTTTCAATTGCAGAAGGCTTGATGTTTATAGGCAATATTTTGATATATAGTTGGACCTGCGTGGGCTCAGATCGTTGTTCTGGTACCTTAGGGCTTTAGGGATTTTTAAATGTAGTGTTTCTGTTGTGCTTATGTTAATTTATTACAATGAATTTAATTTATTAGCGTTAAAGGAAGGGGTTGTGTAATCCCACTGCGAGATATGTCGAATAACATGGGGAGTGAATTTGATCAAATCTAATATATTTGTTTATATACGATGTGAAGTATATGTATGTATTATATGCTGTGTGTTTATTCTATAGTTGACAATCTAGGTACCAATGAGAGATTACATTTTAAGATATCGACTTAGCTTTTATGAAAGCAGAGAATCAGTAACAGATTGAGATGCCTTCTACAATTGAAGATGTGTTATTTTATTCTTGCATAATGGGCTGGTCGCTTTCAGGCCACAAGGTGCCTTTGAGTTATTCTTGTATGGCCTATGCGTAGTCTTGTCAGTATAGCCTTTTCCCTTTTTGACCTGTTCTCTGTGTGACACCTGTCTTTACCTGCCAGTTTTGCAGATATTTCTATTTTTAGAGACAAGGAGTTTTTCCATTCTCCTTTTACTGTATTTGAAATTAGTAAGTTTTACATCTGCTAAGCATACACCATGGGAAGCATCATGGGGGTCTTCCAGCATCTTTTTGGCCACTCGGCTGTCATTCCTATGTTATATCAAGATCATTGGTTGAAAAGGAAATGCGGTCAGTCAATAGAACATGATAAATTTAACAATGATAAATTTTTCATTGTTGTAAAGATAAGATATTTTTCATTTTAAGGTGTAATCAATCATCTCTTTGACTAATATGCAGATGATAAGCCATTAAAAAAAGTTTTAAAAAGTGTAATAATTTTTTTTCTCTCTTTCAGATTGATTAAAAAAAAAGGTTTTTATTTTGACCCACTCTATTCCAATTTTTGTAAAAACTATATTATCCTATATTGCTAATATTGTTATAGAAATTATGAATGATGGAGTGAGTGCGGTGTTCAATCATTTTAAAAAGATAGTTCCTACTCACAGTAAGTTGTTTCCCAACTATCCGGATTTCGAGCTTTTAGCTCATCAGGTTGTAGAACTCCTGATGATGAGCTAAAAGCTCGAAATCCAGATTGTTGGAAAACAACTTACTGTGAGTAGGAACTATTTTTTTAAAAATATTGTTATTGTTATTCTATTCTCTAGGTTATTATTAAAATTTATTTTTTATCTTGACTCACGCTATTCCACAAGAAATGGAGTGGGTGGAAAAGAGTGGGACAAGATAAAAAGTAAATTTTAGTGACAACCTACAGAATTGAATAGCAGTCACAATATTATCAATATAAGATCATATAATTTTTATAATAATTAGCACACTTTTTTTCAAAGGTCATTCACGAATTCCTCAGTGGTAGTTTCAAATATCGTAGGTCGAATTATGGTTGTCCCTTAACACCTATATTTAATACCCTTATCTACATTCCACGCTTATTCAATAATTTAAAGAACCCATATATGTTTAGCAGTCATAATTTACCGTATTAATTATTGCAATTAATTATACTTTTTACCTAAGGTCTTGGCTGAGATGAGGAGTTGGCGTCCGAGTGGATTGAAGTCACGATAGCACAAGTGGGTAAAGCAGCAGTGTATTTTGCAGTTCGAATTTCACTAGTGACACTAACTTTTCATAATTAAGTTTTTAAATTTTTTCCATAATTAATTGCAATTTAAAGAATATATTTAAAAATAACAATAACAATTGTTTTTAAGTCTCTAAAGATCCAATAATATTGTTCAGTGAGATTTATAAAATTGAAAGCGAGTTGTGAATAATAAGCACCCCTTGAGTTGTGACTCTATATTTTAGTTAGACAAAACAAACCTAATGCAAGGGAATGGACCAGCATTGTGTTACAGCAAAAATTGAAGTTACAAGGTAATCAATACATAGAGCCAATAGAGACCAGTTTTATTAAATTGGACAGTCTTAAAGTATTGGATAGAGGTCACTTGTGTTGATTGGATACTTGATTTATAACAAAACTAATTGTAAAATTAATGTATTAATTAGCCTAATCTTCAGGCGGTCCCATATGTAACAATTTTAATCTAATTAATTATTACCTGATAAAATATTACATATTAATCATAATTTTTTTTTATAGAGTTTATTGGGGGTTGATGCAGAAAACAATCCTTTCCTCCACTGTGACGTAAATAGGACTATTGTGGAACCCCTATAGCTTATAGCCATACGCTGGAAAGTGGGCTACTCGTTATAAAACAAAGCACTTTCCTTGGGTGTGAGAAATGTCCTACCAAAGTGGCTGTACCGTGAACAGGCTAATACTTTACATTCAAAAAAGATAAGTGCCGGTGTCTCTGTTTCTTCCTGGCAGAGCCGGCATATTTCCGTCTCAGCCTTGACCATCTTCTTAACGTGACAGTTAAGAGAGCAGTGGTCAGTGTAGAGGCCTATAATTTTTCTCAAATCCCGCGAACTGAGAGAGAGAGGAGTTCTTTCACCTTCTATTTGGCAATGTTTATAAATCTCTTAGCTTGCCGCATGGCTCATATCTGGAATGTTTTTCCAATGTTTGAGTTTTCTTTCTCAATCTATATTTCCAGTTCCAACTTAAGCACACACTCTGGAGTACTTAATTGTGGTTCTGATCCCATGGGTGAGAGGGTTGCCCCCTTTTTGCCTAATTGGTCAGCCTGTTCATTTCCTTCTAAACCTTCCTGCCCCAAAATCCACTTTAAAATAATCTTTTTTGTGTTTTCCTAGAGCCATTAGACAAAATCATAAACATAGATTCTATAATTTTTTGAAAAATATATATAGACTCCAAATGTTTCTATTACTATTAGTTAAGGCAAAATATAACATGATAGCATTAAAAAAAAATTTGTTTAGTATTAATTTGTTAACTTAGCTTTGGTGGCATAAGTTGAAAGCTTGGGGAAACTGTAATTGGTATATATATGAACCTCCTTCTGATCCTTTCAAACAAAATGATAAATGGTAGATCAATCCTAAAGGATTAGTTATAACTTATAAGACAGAAAAGAAGGAGCATTTTTGTTATTTTTTAATTTATTTTTGGAAGCTTCTGGGCCATTACTTAGAAACGATAAACGTGGGGCGAGTATGTTGTTTAATCCTTTTTAAAAAGATAGTTTTTACTTACAGTTCGTTGTTTTCACTAATGGGGGTTCAAGATTAAAGATCATCATCAGGTTGAAGGAGTTACGAACATGTCTCGACACGAATTATCAATTGTGACTGAAGCGGGAAGCCTTCCCGATCCCCGCCAACGAGTATTCCAATGCCTCTCAATTCTGAATGTGTGCAAAACGAAAATTACAACACAACTAAATATTATATTAATAAATACTGTATGAAAATAATTTTAAATTAGTGATTAATTTGGATGTCTTTTCATTTATTAATTAATACAATTAAAATTTTTTTTTCGTTTTTCCCACGTTCAAAATTGAACGCCAGTAAAAACCAGCTTCTTATTGGAACCAAAACAGTCGAGTTGGCGGTGGTCCGCGGGCTCTCTAGTTAACGTCGAAAAACGTTTTTGTAACTCCTTCAACCCGAGCTTTAATCTTGAAATCCGAGTAGCTGAAAACAACAAACTGTAAGTAAAAACTATCTTTTTAAAAAGGATGAATTGTAGTTTTTAAGCTTCTAAAATCTACACTTCTGTAAAGCTTTATGTGGATCTATGAAGGATCCATAAAAAACATGGTTTGCCATTGATGGCTGAACACTGAACACCTCTCGGATAAAAGGAACTTCAACAGGGCATCAAGGGAATTAGATAGAGCCCTAAGGGAAGAAACAGCAACATCTCACTCCTGAGGAGCCCCTCATCCCAGAATAAATTATTCTCTCTCTCCTGGTCAAGTCAGAATTGCCAAGGCACCCGGATTGCTCCCCACTTCTTCTTCAAGCACTACCTCATAAAGCCGTCGTATAATTAACCCAAATATATAACATCCTCAGAACTACTCATTACCCATACAAATGGAAGCACGCTTGTGTAATCAGACCAGTCTTTTGCCACCCTTTTCAAAAAATTTAGAGCGATTATGGTTACTTAAATTTTTCGCATTCTTTATTCTCCTACTACTCTATACTCACATAGGGTTTAGACATGTTCGAACCAACTGTACCAATTAATCTCTACAATCCTCAATACCTATACAGAGAAGGTGTCTCGGAGGACATTTTCGGGAAACTGAGAATGCAGTTCTTTCCTGGCTGGTACAATCCTATCTGTCTAACCATACTTTTCTGTGAGGTGTTCTCATGTAGCATCACAGTTTAAATTGATCCAGCTGGAGTTCCACAGGGCAGTGTCCTGGGGCCTCTCCTTTTTCTCATATATGCTTACGACTGTATAGATCACATCATCACCAAGGACCGGCCAAAAGGTAGAGAAATTGTTATAATGT